TCACCCGTGAAATTGAACGCACCGGCGACCGTGTAAACAGCATGTTCGAACCGGTTCTGCGCCTGGGTGTGACCGGCCTGTCGCGCGCCGGGAAAACCGTGTTTATCACTTCACTTGTGGCCAATCTTCTGGATCGTGGCCGGATGAACCAGCTGACGGCGGCGTCCGGTGGGCGTATTCTGGCCGCCTGGCTGCAGCCGCACCCCGATGACACAGTGCCACGTTTTGATTACGAGGCGCGTCTTGCCGCCCTGACCGGCGTAAATCCGCACTGGCCGGAAGGCACGGCTTCGGTGTCTAAACTGCGGCTTTCCTTCCGCATTCAGCCGGGCGGGATCCTTGGCAGCCTGTCCGGTCCCCGTACCCTGCATCTTGATATTATGGATTACCCCGGTGAATGGCTGACTGATCTGACGCTGCTGGAACAAAGCTATTCTGAATGGTCAGAACAGACGCTGTCCGCCATGAAGACCCGCGGGCAGGGGGCAGATTTTCTGACGCGGGCGGATGCTCTGGCCGGGGCGGAACAATTTGAGGAATCGCAGGCCAAAGAACTGGCTACGCTTTATACGGACCACCTGCAGGACGCCCGCGAGGCGGGCTATTCCCTTTGCACGCCTGGTCGGTTTCTGATGCCGGGTGATCTTGCTGGTGCGCCTGCGCTGTCCTTTGCGCCGCTGCCTGTGCCAGGTGGTAATCGCCCCGCCCGCCGCAGCCTCTGGCGTGAGATGGAACGCCGCTTTGAGGCTTACAAAAACCAAATCGCAAAAACCATTTTTCCAGACCCATTTTTCCGGCGTCGATCGTCAGGTGGTGCTGGTCGATGCTTTGGGCGCTATTCATCGTGGCCCGGCTGCCGTGGATGATATGCGCGAAGCCATGGCGGGCATTCTTAAGGCCTTTAAACCCGGCGGGAACGGGCTTTTGTCCTGGCTCTGGCGTTCTAAAAGGGTTGAGAAAATCCTTTTTGCGGCCACCCGTGCGGATCTTTTGCACCATTCCCAGCACCCACGTCTGACAGCGATCATGGAAGCGCTGGTGCGGGATGCGAAAGATCGCGCTGATTTCGCGGGGGCACAGACAGAGGCCCTGTCGATTGCGGCCCTGCGTACAACGGTTGAAGAAACCCACCGGCAGAACGGTGATGAACTGGATTGCGTCCGGGGGCTGCGTGCGCCGGGGCAGGAGGCCTTGTTTTATGCCGGCGATTTGCCTGCGGATCCAAATATCCTGCTTTCAGAATCCCGCGACCAGAAACGCCGCTGGCTGGCCCATGAATTTGACGCGATGGAATTTCTGCCCGCCCCGGATGCGTTGCGCCCCGGTTCCGGCCCACCGCATATTCGTCTGGATAAAGCAGCGCAGTTTCTGATCGGGGATCGCCTGTGACGGGTTTCACGATTGAACCGGCCCGCCCACTAGACGCCGCTTCCTGCGCGACAATTCTGATGGGCTGGGTGCAGGAAAATGCCTGGATGCCGAAGCTCTGGACATTGCCGCAGACCGAAGCCTTTCTGGCCGGTCTGATCACACGGGGCAGTGTGACGGCTTTGCGTGATGCAGCGGGGCAGATTGCGGGTTTCCTTGATTTGCATGATGGCTGGATCAACTGCCTGTACCTGGCACCACAGGCGCGCGGGCAAGGTCAGGGAAAGACGCTGATCGCCCACGCCGCGCGTCTGCATCCAACGGGTCTGCATCTCTGGTGTTTCGCGGAAAATCAGGCGGCCGTGCGTTTCTATACCCATGCGGGATTTCGCGAGGTTGCCCGCACAGGGGGCGACAATGACGAGGGCCTGCCGGATATTCAGTTTTACCGGCCCGGAAGGGAAGAGATATGAGCGAGACAGAGACACCCCATCGCGGCCCGATCCGTCTGGATCTTGAGGCATCGGAACGGCTGACCCCATCCGACGCCCCGCCAGTGCCAGAGGTTTTCGGGAATGACCGTCCGGCTGCCGCAATGACCCATGTGGTGGCCCTGGGGGCGCGGCGCATGTCGTTCCTCGGGCGGGCCTTCTGGTGGCTGCTGACTGCGCTGATCTCGCTGGCGCTTGGCCTTTGGGGCTGGGATATCGTGATGGGGCTGATTGCGCGCAATACGTTGCTTAGTCAGGTGGTTCTGGGCCTTTCTGCTTTGCTGGTTCTGGTTGCACTGCTGATTGCGCTGCGAGAGGTCACAGGTTTCCTGCGGCTGAAGCGTCTGGACCGTATTCATGAAGAAGCAGGACAGGTTCTGGCCGCCGGGGATCTGACAGGGGCGCGACACCTGACCGGGCGCCTGACGCGCCTGTATCAGCAGCGTGATGAGCTGACCTGGGCTTTGCAGAATTTTGCCGAAAAACAGGGCGATACCCATGATGCAGATGCCCATCTGGCCCTGGCCGAAGCTGAAATCCTGACACCCATCGATGAGGCCGCAACACGTGAGGTCGAAGCCGCTGCCCGCCAGGTTGCCACGGTTACCGCCCTTCTGCCGCTGGCTTTTGCCGACGTGCTGACGGCGCTCGTGGCCAATCTGCGCATGATCCGCCGGATTGCGGAACTATACGGCGGGCGCACGGGCAGTCTGGGGAACTGGCGGCTGATGCGTTCTGTCCTGACACATCTGGCGGCCACAGGTGCCGTTGCGGTGGGCGATGATCTGATTGGTTCGGTCGCGGGGGGATCGGTTCTGTCTAAGTTTTCCCGTCGCTTTGGTGAAGGCGTGGTGAATGGTGCGCTGACAGCCCGCGTCGGCATTGCCGCGATGGAGGTCTGCCGCCCGCTGCCGTTCACAGCCCGGAAACCACCGCGCGTAACCGCGGTTCTCAGCAATGCGCTGGCAGGGTTGTTCGGCCGAAATGGCAATCAGAAAGACAGCTGAGGCGGTGCGCCTTCTGGCGCGCGGTCTTCGGCCATACGAATGCGGAAGCCACGGGCAATCCGATGCGCCATCGCGCCCCAGGCGGCGGCGGTTTCCGGTTGCAGCTCTGACGTCAGAACCTCTTCAAACAACTCCAGCCACAGGGGGAAATGTTCGTCCAGGATCTGCGGCGTATCCAGATGCACCTGCATCGGATTGCCGGAATAGCTTTGTTCCCGCAAAAGTGCGTTGCGCCAGAAGCCCCCGATCTTGTCTTCATGCACGGCCCATTCGCCTTTGTCCGTGCCAATAATCCCGTTGAACACCGGACCAAGCACAGGGTGCACACGAATACGGGCGTAGAATTTAACCATTACGCGATCGATTTCCTCAGCCGTAATGGGAAAACGCCGGACGGGATAGGACATGGGGGGCTCCTGCAGGTTTTCTGGCGAAACTATCAGGAAACAAATTGCTGTCATTAGGGTGACTTGCCGCAGGTCTGTATCTTTGATTTAATTGTTTCATGGCCAGGAAGAAATACAGTTTTGCATATATTCGGGAATTGGCCTGCCATTGCGATGACTATTATTCTGAGAGAATTGTTTCCGGTGACCCTGTTGAGGGGGTGCCCGATGACTATTCCTGCCATGATCGCAGCCATTACGTGAAAATTATGGTGCATTACCTGGTGACTGAGAATGACCAGCTGTCTCGCGAGATGGCGCGCGGTGTCCTGGCGGAGCTGGGTGATGCGGACGTTCCGGAGGTGCAACAGCAGGTGATGCAGATGCTGGATGCGACGGGAATGGGGCTTTTATGCGAGAAAGAGCATTTTGAAGCAGATCTACAGGCGCTGCGTGATGCTCTGATCGCGTTCTCCGGGGAGGGACATAGCGGTTCCGTCCCGGAATGAACCGAAGCAGTCGGTTCTAGGGGGACAGGATGAACGCTGCAACTGCCGGAAGAAGATCCGGATGCAGGGACAGGGACGGATCGCGGTAGGTGGCGAAAGGGCGATCGGGGATTTGCGCTTTCAGAATATGGGTGCCGCCAGACATAGTTATGCGTCTGGCCTGGGGGAACGCGTCGGCCAGCAGATCGGCATCCCGCATTGTCACCTGAATATCCGCGTCCCCCTGAAGGATCAGCGCGGGGCCGTGCCAGTCACGGGCAACGTCTGCAGGATCAAAGGAAAACAGATTGTGCAGATAGGGGTGCAGGGCAGGACGAAAGAGCGCCTGAAGCGTGACCGGCAGGCCTGATGTATCTGGTGTAGAACCCGTTTCCAGCGCCGCAATGACAGGGCGCACATCGTCAATCCAGGCATCGCTGTCCGGCGCTTTTCTCAGCTGTTCCAGCATCAGGGGGCCGAGGGGACGGCCCGGAGTTGCCATCAGGATCAGGCCGCAAAGGTTTTCCGGCGGAGTTTGTGCGGCCACAAGGGCCACCAGCCCGCCTTCCGAGTGGCCCGCAATCCAGATGCAATCCAGATCCTGTGCCATGAAGTTAACCCAGTCGCGTGCGTCCTGGGCGTAGGCTTCAATTGTCACGTCATTTGCATCGTCAATGGCGTTTGCACTGCCAGACATACCGCGCTTATCGATGCGCAGACTGGCAATACCCGTTGCTGCAAGCCCCTCAGCCAGCAATCGGTACATGTTTGTTTCTGTGCCTGTCTGCGGCAGGTTGCCATCACGGTTCACCGGGCCGGAACCGGGGATGATCAGCACACCTCTGGAGGTGGCACCCTGAAGCAGGTATTCGCCTTCCAGAGGGCCCTGTGGTCCGGGAATTTGTACGGGTTCTGCGCACAGAGGCGCAGTACAGAATGCAGCGAACAGACAGAATAGAAAAACACGCATAGCAGGATGCTACAGCTATCGTGTCGAAATGGAAGCCGGCAATAAATTTCTTTCAAAGAAATTTACCCGGAGTTTTTGCAAAACTCCGGTGGCGCGTCAAAAATACCGATACTCCTGCTGGACGCCCGTGGTGCACAGGCCTATAAGGCCCTTATGCGACATATGATGGCGATTATTATTCGAATTATATGCCCGGCGCTCCACTGACACGAGCCGCCGGGACAAGGCGTATGCAACGCGCGCGCCGCCCTCATATCTTCCCTGGAATTCCCCGATAAGGACCACAGAACATGTGCGCCGATACGCCTGAACAAACCGTCGAATATAAAGACACCCTGAACCTGCCCAAAACCGATTTCCCCATGCGCGCAGGCCTGCCCAAGCGCGAGCCAAACTGGCTGGATCGCTGGAGCAAACTCGGGGTGTATGACCGCCTGCGTGAAAAGGGCGAAGGACGTGAACCTTTCATCCTGCACGATGGTCCCCCCTATGCGAACGGCCATCTGCACATCGGTCACGCGCTGAACAAAACCATCAAAGACATGGTCGTGCGGTCCCATCAGATGATGGGCCATGATGCGCGTTATGTGCCGGGCTGGGATTGTCACGGTCTGCCGATTGAATGGAAAATCGAAGAGCAATACCGCAAAAAAGGCAAAAACAAAGACGAGGTCAATATCGTTGATTTTCGTCAGGAATGCCGCAAGTTCGCGGAAGGCTGGATCGACATCCAGCGCGACGAATTCAAACGTCTGGGCATCACAGGCAACTGGGCGGATCCTTACATCACCATGGATTACCATGCTGAGGCTGTGATCGCCGACGAATTCATGAAGTTCCTGATGAACGGCACGCTGTATCAGGGTTCCAAACCTGTGATGTGGTCCCCGGTTGAGAAAACCGCTCTGGCCGAAGCCGAGGTTGAGTACCACGACAAAGAAAGCTTCACGATCTGGGTGAAGTTTAAGGTTGTCGAGGCTGCCGTGGATCCAAAATCGTCTTTGACACAGCCGATCGATAGCGATCTGCTTGGGGCACATGTGGTCATCTGGACCACAACACCATGGACAATCCCATCCAATAAAGCCGTGGTTTATGGTCAGAACATTGCTTACGGCCTTTATGAAGTGACCGGCACACCTGAGGAAAGCTGGGTTTCTGTTGGCGATAAATATCTGCTGGCAGACAACCTTGCGGCTGACGTGTTCAAACGCGCGCGTCTTGAGGAAAGTCAATATACCCGCGTCCGTGATGTGAGTGAGCATGAACTGAGCGTGATTGGGCTTAAACACCCTCTGGCGGGTGCCGAAGGTAGCAATGGCGAATGGGATGACATCCGTGATTTCCGCGCCGCTGACTTTGTGACCGACACGGAAGGCACAGGTTTTGTGCACTGCGCGCCAAGCCACGGTATGGAGGAATTCGAACTTTACCGTGATCTGAACATGCTGGAACAGGTCATCACCTATAACGTCATGGATGACGGTGGCTTCCGCGCGGATCTGCCGTTCTTTGGTGGCAAGTTCATCCTTGATCGCAAGGGCAAGGAAGGCAACGCCAACAAAACCGTCATCGACAAGCTGGTTGAGGTCGGCGGCTTGCTGGCGCGTGGCAAGATCAAACACAGCTATCCGCATTCCTGGCGCTCCAAAGCCCCGATTATCTACCGCAACACGCCGCAGTGGTTTGCAAGCGTGGATCGTAAGCTGGATGATGGTATGGGCGAAATGGGTGACAGCATCCGTGAACGCGCGCTCAATTCCATCGATCAGCTGGTGAAATGGTGGCCACAATCCGGCCGTAACCGCCTGCATTCCATGATCGAAGCACGTCCTGACTGGGTTCTGTCTCGTCAACGTGCCTGGGGTGTGCCTCTGACATGTTTCACCAAAAAAGATGCACTGCCAACTGATGCGGATTACATCCTGCGCAGTGCTGATCTGAACGCCCGTATCAAAGCGGCGTTTGAAGTCGATGGTGCTGACGTCTGGTACACCGATGGGTTCAAGGAAAAGATGCTGGACGGTATTGCGAACCCTGAGGAATATGATCAGGTCTATGACGTGCTGGACGTGTGGTTTGACTCAGGTTCCACCCACGCCTTTGTGCAGCGTGACCGTGAAGATGGCGCGCCGGATGGCATCGCTGATGTCTATCTGGAAGGCACCGACCAACACCGTGGCTGGTTCCATTCGTCGCTGCTGCAGGCTTCCGGTACCAAGGGCCGCGCACCGTATAAAAACGTTGTGACACACGGGTTTACCCTGGATGAAAAGGGCATGAAAATGTCCAAATCCCTGGGCAACACCATCGTGCCTGAAACTGTGGTCAAACAATATGGCGCGGATATTCTGCGTCTTTGGGTGGCCCAGACCGATTACACCGCCGATCAGCGCATTGGGCCTGAAATCCTGAAAGGTGTGGCCGACAGCTATCGTCGTCTGCGCAACACCATGCGCTTTATGCTGGGTGCGCTGGATGCACATGACGCGGATAAAAACGTGGCGGCTGCGGATATGCCGGAACTGGAACGCTGGGTTCTGCATCGTCTGGCCGAACTGGATCACCAGGTGCGTCAGGGCTATCGCACCTTTGATTTCCAGGGCGTCTTCCGCGCGGTGTTTGAATTCGCGACCCAGGATCTGTCCGCTTTCTACTTCGACATCCGCAAGGATGCGCTCTACTGCGACGGCGACAGCAACACCCGTTTCGCGGCGCTGACCGTGATGGACATCCTGCACGCACGTCTGACCACCTGGCTGGCCCCGATCCTGTGTTTCACCATGGAAGAGGTCTGGCTGGAACGTCACCCGGGCGAGGACAGCTCTGTGCATCTGGTTGATATGCCAGACACCCCTGCGGACTGGCTGGATGAACCCCTGGCCGCGAAATGGGCCGAGATGCGCAAGGTGCGCCGTGTCGTGACCGCAGCGCTGGAAGTGCAGCGGACCGATAAAGTCATCGGTGCGTCGCTTGAGGCGGCCCCAGTCGTGCATATCCGCGATGAAGACGTGCTGGCCCTGGTGCAATCCGTTGACTTCGCAGACATGTGTATCACATCCTCCATCACCCTGACCGGCGACCCAAGCCCGGCCGAGGCCTTCCGCCTGCCGGAAACCGAAGGCGTGGGCGTGGTGTTTGAGAAAGCCGATGGCGACAAATGCCAACGCTGCTGGAAGATCCTGCCAGACGTCGGCACCCACAGCCACCCGGCAACCTGTTCCCGTTGTAATGACGCGCTGGGATGAAATCGCTGCGGAGTTTGACCACGTCAGGCTCCGCAGTTTCTGCAATGGCAGAATTAAGATCGGATATCCTCCTGCTGTCGGGCAGGTGGATATCAATCTGACGAGACGAACCCGACTGAGCGATCACGATGCGATTGGGGTGATGCACTCTGAATCAGGCACCGTTACTTTTGCGCTCCCTTTGTTTTCGGATAAAGAGATTCATGAACTCCCGGGGGGGCGTGGCATACTGTATGGTCATTGGCTTCTTGATGTTGACGGGAAAACGGAAATCACGGAGCAGCCAGTCGATACCCCTTTGGGCTTCGTTGGGGATGATCAGCAAAAAATTTTGTTAAGCTATGGTTGTGCGGGGGATGTCGCCTGTTTTGATGCGAACGGACTAAGGTGGAATTTCGTTGGTATCTTCGAAGGAAATATCGAAAAACTCCAGTTACGTGATGGCGAGATTTTCTGTTTTGGCTGGTTCGATTGGGACCATAGTCTTTATTGTCTGCAGCTTTCAGCGGAAACTGGGGAGATTATCGGTGGAGATAGCTTCGCCATGACACAACACAGAGATTTTGGCGTAAAAAAGTGAAGCGAACCAGAGGACAAGATACTGAAATCGGGCGGTTTACGCCGGGGAATTTAATGCAGTTTCCGAAGTAGAAGGTGTAATCCTCGGGCATGTATCGGGCTTCATGGTTCTCATTTGCGCAGCTTCCGGAACGGGTTTTCCCTTGTGAATGCCCCCGGTTGCACCCATGTTACCCTTATGAATACCGGAACAACAGAAACCCCCATCGGTCGTCTTGGCCTTGTTGAAAAAGACGGCGTGATCACGCAGCTTTTGTGGAATGCAGATCCTGTGGGTGAAGAAACCGCCGTGCTGCGCGAAGGGGCGCGGCAGTTGCAGGCTTATTTCAACCATGAACTGACGGAATTTGATCTGCCGCTTTGGGTTGAGGGCAGCAATTTTCAACGCGCGGTCTGTGATTTTATGTTCGCCATTCCTTTTGGCGAAACCGTGACATACGGCGATATCGCCAAAGCCACAGAAACCCCGGCCCAGGCCGTGGGCAATGCCTGTGGTGCCAACCCGATCCCGGTGATTATTCCCTGCCACCGTGTTTTGTCAGCGACGGGCCTTGGTGGTTTTTCCGGGGCAGGCGGCGGGCTTAACGGGATTGAAATGAAAGTCACCTTATTAAAGCATGAAGGGGCTGCGGGCCTTTTGATCTGAGGGTTCCGAATGCAGAAAACCTCCTTTGTGCTTCTGATTTTAATCTGCGGGGTGACAGCATCTTTCGCGCAGGATTGCCCGATTGCGGATGATCTGGAAACAGGCATCAGGCTGACCCGGCATGATCCGTCTTTTGTTTCCGTGTTTCGTCGTGATGCCGGTGGCCTGTCTGAACGGCGTGAAAGCCAGGGGCGTGTTATACATACCCGTGAAGCCCACGCGCTGATGACGGTGGAGCGTTGGGAAGAGGGGCAGAACAACCATATGCGCCTGTCCTATGATGTCAGCCCCGCAGAACTGGACAACCTGCGGTTCGGACGCAGCCTGAAACGCGATCTGCGGCTGCGTTTTGCCGATGGCAGAGAGGTGCCGGGGGATGTGACCTGGAAAGTGATCCGCAACACAACCGTGCATATCGGCCCCTGTAGCTACCCCGCGCAGCAGGTCCATGAACGGACCGATTTCGAAGGGGTCGATCCGATGTTCATGGTGCGGTTTTACGCGCGTGACCCCGGCCTTGTTCTGCGCAGCATTGTCACGGATGGAAACTGGCAGGCGGTGCGTGAAGTGCGCTTTGACCAGATTGAACGGGTCATGCCCTGATCTGGCGTTATCACCCCCGACAACCCCGGGATTTGTCGTGATATTTCCGCACGTTTTACGGTGCCGCCCCGGAAATGTAACAGTTTTATGACAAATTAAGTTGCGCCGGTTAAGTCGCTGGCTACTGCTCGGGGCAGGAACCACCGGAGCGCCCCCATGTCTGCCTTTATCTTTATGTCTATCCTTATGGCAGCTCTGTTGCACGCCAGCTGGAACGCCCTGATCAAGACCGGCGACAACAAGCTGGCAGGCATGATGGTCATGGCGCTGGGGCATGGGCTGATCGGGCTTGTGACGATCTTCACGCAACCCATGCCAGAGGGCGAGGTCTGGATCTGGCTGATGTGTTCGGCGACCTTCCACACGGCCTATCAGTTCTTTCTTGGCTACGCCTATCAGCAGGGGGATCTGTCGCGGGTTTATCCGATTGCCCGTGGGGGCGCGCCCATGCTGGTGCTTCTGGTCAACGTGATTGTGCTGGGGGAATATCTGTCGGTGCAAAGCTATATGGGCATTGCCCTGCTGGGTGTCGGGATCATCCTGATGGCGCGGGGGGTGTTCACATCCGGTGAATCCCGCCGGATGTTGCCCTTTGCGATTGGGTCGGCCTTTGCGACGGCGGGCTATTCCATTGTTGATGGCATGGGCGCACGCGCAATGGACAATGCGGTGGCCTATGTGGGCTGGCTTTTTGTGATTGCAGCGGTGACCTATCCGGCCCTGATGATCGGGGTGCATGGCACGCAGATCCTGCGTATTCCACGCAAAACCTGGGTCCTGGGGATGTGTGGGGCTGCGGCGTCCTATGCGTCTTACATCATCGCGGTCTGGGCCATGACACAGGCGCCGATTGCCCTGGTCACAGCCATGCGCGAAACCAGCATTCTCTTTGCGGTTCTGATCGGCTGGCTGATCTTTGGCGAAAACATGTCACGCAGCAAGGCGATTTCAGCCATTCTGATTGTAGCAGGTGTGGCGATCACCCGGCTTTAAGCAGAACGCGCCGGGATCAGGCTTTGTGCAATACCGGCCAGTGCCAGGTAAATGCTGGTCACGATCAGGCCCCAAAGCGCCCAGCTTTCGGGATGGAAATCAACCCAGGCCGCCCAGCCCGCGCAGGCGGTCCAGAGGAAAGCGATCGGGGCTGTAACCGGACGCCAGCGTTCTGTGCGCATAGGATGAACGAACTTCAGCGGCAGGAACATGGTCACCGAGAATGCGATCACGATGAACAGGATCACAGGCCAGCTGGGGGCTGTTGCAAAGAGAACCAGGATCACCATATTCCAGCATCCGGGGAAGCCGGAGAAGGAATTATCCTTGGTTTTCATACGTGCATCTGCGAAATACAGCGCCGATGTAAATGTGATGACAATGATCGACAGCCAGCCGGCCCAGCCGTCCAGCAGGCCGGATTTGAACAGGGCGAAAGCCGGCACAAAAACATAGGTCAGATAGTCGATAATCAGATCCAGCAGCACACCGTCATAGATCGGGGCGTTTTTCTCACCTCATAGCGGCGGGCAAGCGGCCCGTCCACGCCATCAACGGCAAAGGCCACAACCAGCCAGAGATACATGAGGCTCCAGTTTGCTTCGACAGCGGCCAACATGGCCAGCATTGCGAAAACAGCACCGGTGGCGGTGAGCAGGTGAACGGCGTAAGCTTTGGTCTGTAAAGTCATGGCTTCCTCATGCCGCATCAGTGCCAGGAAGGCAATCGTGGATTTTACCCGTTGTTAACCGCGTGGGTGGGCTTTCTCATAGACTTCCAGCAGGCGGGCGGTGTCCACGGCTGTATAGGCCTCGGTTGAGGCAAGCGAGGCATGGCCCAGCAGTTCCTGAATGGCACGCAGATCTCCCCCGGCATTCAGCAGGTGGGTGGCAAAGGAATGGCGCATGGCATGGGGTGTGACGCTGGATGGCAGGCCCAGCTGCATGCGCACATCTGCCAGGGTTTTCTGCACCTGACGTGGCGACAAAGCCCCCCCGCGCACGCCGCGAAACAGGGCGTGTTCTTTTTCACCGGGAAAAGGGCAAAGCCGCAGATATTGCGCCACGGCGTCCTGCGCGGTGGGAATCACCGGCACCAGACGTTCCTTGTCGCCTTTGCCTTTAATGTACAATTTGTCAGACAGGGGCACATCGGCAAACGTCAGGCTGAGGGCTTCAGAAATCCGCAGGCCACAGCCATACAGCAGGGTTAGAACGGCAACATCGCGCGCCTGCACCCAGGGTTCTGTTGATTGCAGGGCGGCGGTTTCCAACACGGCTTTGGCCGCGTCTTTCGCCAGCGGACGGGGCAGTTTGTTGTGGAACTTCGGCGCGCGGGTCATCATCACGGCGGTTGCGTCAAAATCATCGCGTTCTGAAAACCAGCGGTAGAAGCTTTTCACCGCAGACAGTTCCCGTGCAAGCGATCGTGCTGCAATCCCGCGCCCGCGTTCATGGGCCATGAAAGATCGCATATCGGTGACAGAAATATCGCGCAGCATTTCAACGCCGCGCGCATTTTCCATGTGCTGGGACAGAAACGCAAAAAATACCAACAAGTCGGTCTGATAAGCTTTGCGCGTGTTTTCCGAGATCCGCCCAAGCGCGCTGTCGGTGGTCAGCCAGCGTTCCAGCAGATCCGTCAGGGCAGGGGCGATAAACCCCTTATCCCCGCTCATGCCAGCCAGCGGCGCATGGAGCGTTCAAAAACGCCGCCAAAGAAGGTCAGCAGATCTGTGCCCTGGCCGGTATGAAATTGATCCGGGTCTTTGATCCATAAGCAGCATGCCCGGCAGATTGCCTTCGCCCAGGTCCAGGGCAATGACGGCTTCGGACTGAACGGTGTTTTCGTCTTCCAGATACAGCCAGTCCGCGCCCCTATTCACCGCACGCAGGGGACTTTGCGCTGTGCATCATCCACAGGGCTGCCAAGGTAATCTGAAATCACACCGGGCACCGCAGCGGTCAGAACAGATCCGACGCGATCAAGTGAGGCATCGGTTCTTCCTGATGGGTTTCCAGAATGAGCCGCACAGAATCAACCCGCAGAATGGCGGCAACCTCATCGCCCAGGTCAGAAGGAATTCTTCAAAACTCAGCGGATCCAGCATTTCAGCACAGCGCGGTGAATTTGATTGGTACCG